TTGCAAGGAATACAAATAACGTGATTATTACTATTTATATACAAATAACATTTATTTTCAGCCACAAAAATTTTGATCAAAATATGCACTTCATTATTTACTAAAATTTGAATACAAACCGAATATATTTGGAACATACTAAACGATAACCCCAACCAATGCGCAATTTATTAAAATTTATAGATGGCGCCAAAAAACTTATTCAAGTGTATTAACATTTATACATAGCGCTGAAAGTCTTCATAAGGTACCTTAGGGAAACGCCACTCAACACATTGACAGAAATTAGAAAACATCAAAAGATGCGCATATTTAATTCCTAAAAAAGAGTAATAAAGCAAATCCCAAGTCAGGCGTAGACAATGAAAACAAATAGATATGTTTCAAGTCTCATTAGTAATGCAGGAAAGCAAAACAAAAAAACAAGAAAATTTGATGCTGCGAATTGCTTTTAGATATAAATAATGGTTGCAGGTCTCTGATACCACAATGGACTAAATTTTCATCATCTTTACGGGGAAAAATAGAGATCAATGACGCCAAACATGACTTCAAAATATTTAAAAACCGACTGCATGAACCATGAAATTGATATTCTGCTCGGCCTTCCACAATCGATATAGCTATGAAAGTAAAATTGATACCGCAATTAACCCAAACCACAATAGAGACGCAATTATTATTGTTGAAAATCAAATAAAAGTTACAAACAAAGGCTCTCAACATCAGGCAAAAGACACTCTAAGGCAAGGACATGATAGGTTGCGGGCCGAGTTAGCAGAAATGGGGGTTGGAAGGTTGTAGGAAGGGTATCAGCAAGAAATAGGCTTACGACTGGACAACAAACTGGGAAATTAGGAGGGCAGGTTGGAACACAGAGGAGATCATAGCCTAGATATGGATGGCAATGGGGGGGAGGGGCTGCAGGTGGCAGATCTGTAGGGGAAATGGGTTTTGGCAAATGCAACAGGGAGGTGGTGGCTGCAGAAAGGTCGACAAACAGGTTAGAGCAGGTTGCAGCAGAAGCTAGGATGACAGGGGGAATAGGTGGCTAAAGGAGGGTAGATGAAAACGACACAGGAGGTTGTTTTATGGTGGTTGCAACAATTACGGTGGCGGAGAAAAGGTTGTGGAAGATGAGAAGTTAAGAATAATCACTATCTCGAAGCGAGATACAGCTGAAGAACCACTCATCCTCGGGTACAGCCCTAAAAGGGAAAAGGACCTTGATGGTTTTCCAAACAGAAACCTAGAAAGAACTAACCCTAAAACAGAGAAAGCAACATATAAATAGGAGTAGATAACTAAGGGTACCCCCTTTCTCACTTGGGGGACAACCCTAGCCTCTAGACGAAGGATCAGCTGGCCCTCTTGGTCCAATTGGCTGAATCGGTAAAACAAGCACCCGGTTCAACCCCTCTGAAGCCCCGCATCAATCTCTCATGATAGGGGGATCTTTGACTTCATTTGTCGAAGTTTTTGGTCTTTGTCTGTTGTCCTAGCAGCTATTAGATCGTCCTGCCCACCTGCATTGTCTCCCAAAACATTAGAGGAGCTTTCTCCACACACGAGCATACATCCACATCAATCCGCTTTCCTAGGGGTCCACTACTACATAGAGTTGCGTCTGTGTGTCCTGAATAGACTGTTGAATCCTCTCAAAGTAATCCACGGTGAGTTCGACCTGCTCTGAAGTGAGAGTAACCGAAGCCTTCCCAATCGACGGTGGTCATAATGGCAAGGTATCGACCGTGATATTCTGAAATGTCTTGTCGTGATTGTCTCGTGTTTGGAGCTGGTGTCTTGGTCCCCAAGCATCCTTTGTTGTCACAAAAAATGGTCCCACATATGTTGCTCTGCTAAAAAGGCTCCTATGAGCTCAAGCTACGCCAAATGAAATTTAATGATGTGTTTCTCATCATTGTGAAGCAGATGTTTCTGAATCCATAGTGTTGAGTCCTACGGTCAAATTGTCACGGTCTCCCCAACAAAAGGTGGCAGTCATTGAGATCACGTCGCACTACACATGATCCTACAGTTGGTTCCCAATTGAAAACTCTACTAAGCACCTCCAATCAATGAAGATTTTGTTTTCCTTCTTCAGGCACGTAAGAGAATATGATTGTGAGTGCCTCTGAATCAAGAGACTCAATTTCTCTACCATCTATGTAGATATCACATTCTTGTTGCTCCTTATGATTAGATTGCATACCTTACTGTTCACAATGCAATGGGTGTAAAATATATTGCGGAGAAGCCACTTCGAATCTGTTCTTAGTCTGTAAAACCTGTCAAACCACGAGCATCTCGCCTTCATCAGGTGAAAGATGATGCACCTCACCATGTTCCTCAGTGTCTTCTCGTCGCTAACCTCCTCCACGGCGCCCTGCTCGGTAAACTCAGCTTGTCAGGCAATTGAAGGCGATGTGCCCAAATATGTGGCATTTGAAGTATTTTCTGGTGAGAATTGTGGTAGGTGTGCTACACTTCTCAGACTTCTCACTGGAGGTGGACATATTTTTATCTAAACCAATTTTCTCAACTTCCTGATGTGTGCTCCTGCTGGTGTCACCTACTTTAAGTGGTTTGCCTACTCTGTGTCTGCTGTCTTTCCACTTCCAATGCTAAGGCTTGGACATCTCCAAGCAACCAATAAGTCTACAACTGTACCACTTTGCTAATAATAAGCTTCAAGCCTCCCAAATAACGGGCTATGGTGTGTTCCTCTGGCTCTACCAAATCACAGTTCATCTGCAACTGGTCCAACTATATCGTGAAGTCCTCCATTGATAGGCCTCTCTGTTGCAGATGTTGGAGTCTCAAAAGCATATTAGCGGTAGTGAAGTGATAGGTATTTTATGTGTACAGCTTTCTTCATCTTTTCCCACTTGGAAATCTTATCATTGCTCTCTCTTCTCCTCTGCCTTCGAAAGTTGTCCCAACATAGAAGGCACTTTTTCTCAAATTTTCAAAGTTCACCCTTTTATCTTCTGACATCTCTTTGTACTCCAAAATCCTCTCAACTGATTACAGGCATTCAATAAAATATACATCCATACCCCCGTCGAACTCTGGTATATCCATCATTATTCTGAAATGTTTGTCCTCCAAATGGTGTCTCCTCTCTAGACCTTCTCTGATACTGGATTCCAAAAAGTCATGGCCTTCTTCATCGCTGGAATCCTCCCAATGGAAGGGGTTGAAATTCTCGTCTCTTTTGCCTCTTCAACTTTCCCTCTCACCATTGAAGGTAACTTTCTCATGGGTTTCACCATCCATCTCTGCAAGTCTTATTATATCTCTTCCCAGGTAGACTCGGACACGTACCTTCTTTGTAGCATGGCTAGGGTTTAGGGTTAGGAGGTGAAAGAGGGTCTAATTGAAGGTGTAAAAAATTAATTTAGAATTACTAATTTTGAAAAATGAATAAGAAATTAAATGTCAAAGTTTGTCTATGATTTAAAAATAGGAAAGAAAATTTTTGGTGGAGACAGCTTGGGTAGGGGAAGATGCTAGGAAACTTTGTGATAGGATTAGGGTTAGGTTAACTCTGCTACCAAATGATACCGAAGTTAACCCAAAACACAATAGAGATGCAATTATTATTGATGCAATTCAAATAAATATTACAAACAAAGACACTCAACATTAAGGAAACAACAACAAGCACAAAAAAATCCTAACGCAAGAACGGCGTGGTAGGTTGCAGTTCAAGGTAGCGGAAACATGGGGTTCGAACCCAAACCACAATAGAGTTGCAATTATTACTAATGAAATTCAAACAAATGTTACAAACAAAGACACTCAACATTAAGGAAACAACAACATAAGCATAAAAAAATCAGACAACGACGTGGTAGGCTGCGGGGTATCAGAAACGGAGTTGGAAGGGGCGGGCATGTGGGTTGTAGCGGGATGATTGTGGGTTGGAAGGAAAAGGAGGTTATGGCGTGGTCGGGGGGATCGAAGTGGCAACGATAGATGCAGCAGGGAGGCGGTGCTTGCAGCAAGGTCGGCAGGCAGGTTGGACCAGGTTGCGGCAAAAGCTGGGATGACAAGGAGGAATAGTCGATTAGAGGATGGTAGGGAGCTGCAGGAAAACGACACGAGATTGTTTTCCTATGGTTGCAACAATTACGGCAGCGACAAAGAAAAGATTGTGGGGAATGAAAAAGTCGATATAATAACCACCTGGGAACGAGACACAGCCGGAGCATCACTCGTCCTCGGATACAACCCTATAAGGGAAAATGATGGCGTCAACGGCTGTCCAAACAAAAACCACAGCAAAAGCTAACCCTAAAACAAAGAAATCAACTTATAAATATAAGTAGATAAACAAGGGGCCATCCTCCACCCCCTCACTTAGGCAGGTTGAAGCAGGTTGCAGCAAAAGCTGGGATCACAAGGAGGAATAGTCGGTTAGAGGGTAGGTGGCTGTAGGAAAATGACACAAGATGTTGTTTTTCTGTGGTTGCAACAATTACGGCAGTGGTAGAGAAAAGATTGTGGAAAATGAAAAAGTCAATGATAATAACCACCTAGGAACGAGACACAGCCGGAGCACCACTAGTCCTCGGATACAGCCCTAGAAGGGAAATGAAGGGCGTTGGCGGCTGTACAAACAAAAAACACAGCAAAAACTAACCCTAAAACAAAAAAATCAACTTATAAATAGAAGTAGATAACCAAGGGGCCACCCTCCACCCCCTCATTTAGGCGGCAGCTTCCCTAGACGAAGGGTCGGCTAGCCCCCTTAGTCCAATTGGCTGAACCGGTTCAACAAGCACCCAGTTCAGCCCCTCCCTTGCCCCGCGTTAAAAAATACTATCGGGATAAAATACAAACCAATTCAAGACACCAAAGCACAACATTGAACACCTCCTTTATGTTACGAAAATATTGGAATTAAACAAGGTTCGCAAAAGCTCAGAAGCATACAGGAAAATGATGGTTCTCAATAAAAACCAGTAAGGTTATCAAAGCAATATGGAACTCGCCTTGTGCTGAAGCCTCATTATAGTAGATATCAGAAGTTTGTCTCCAATGATCTGCCTCAACTTCTTAACAAGGTCAAGCCTATTTATTTTTCTTTTCTGAGGAAAAGAGAATGCAGTCATAAGAAATACACAAATATCCAAGTGTAAGAAAACTATAGACAATGAAAACCTATGTTAGATACCTTGAATTCTTCATAATGTGTATTAACAAGATCCATATCCTTGGCAGAAACTTTGGTTGAAATAGCAGCAAACAACATGGAAAAGGGCATCCAAGGAGATGTTGGCTTTGGAACTCTTCCAAATGCCGGGGCGTTACCTTGGAATTTCCCCACAGAAATTACAGGCAGATCAAAATTTTCTTCCTGAGAAAAAAAAAAGAACTTTTTCACCACCCTCATCTGTAAATCAAATGACCTCCAGCCTCTACTTTCACACATTGCTAACTATCAGTGAAACAAAAGCCAACCAATAAGCAGCAAAATGCCTATGTGAACTACTAAAATTTCACATACAGGAGAAAGGGTTCTGCCGCATTGCTGAAGAAAATTAGGGGGCGGGAGCGAGAGAGAGAGAGAGAGAGAGAGAGAGAGAAACCTTCAAAAGTGGGGCAGGTGAAGAACCATTTGTGACTCCAGACTCATTAGATACACTTTTTCTACCAAACAGATGCTCTGCAGGAAAATAAAATACCAATATCTCCCTAGCCATTAAGATTCCAAACAAATTAAATTAAACTTCCCAATATATCATGAGAACTACCTCTGGCTTCAGCACCCAGCTTAAAAGTCAAAACACACTCTGGGTAGATGTGAGTAAGCACATTCATGTCCCATATGACATAATGTTTTGGTGCTCGAAAATCATCCACACCACTGTCAAAATTCTCGTTGCTAGGCTGAAACTGTTTAGAACCAGGGTAAACAAGTTCCACATTGCCCATGATGACTCGACATAGCATCATATAAGATAGCCCATTTTCATCCACATCTAAATAGGTAGCACTGTGGATAGCAATCTGTGAGCAACCCAAGTTTCTTGAAAGCAAATCATTAGCAATTTAGAGAAATATAACAACAAAAACCGAGGAAATCAAGTATTGACTACAGAAAAGCAGAAAACATGACAATTTTCACCATAAGGATCCAAGGCCAAGAATATTTTAAGAATTTGATTGCCGATCTAGCAATTAAGGTTAGTCAAAAGAAATGAAACCTCACCAGATACTGGGGCAGTTTGCTGGTGCAAGATGAACACCCAGCCCATATATGCTACCTCGCATTGGCTTTTCAGCCCTCATAACTCCATGCAACATAATGTCTTCTACAGCAGATTTTGTGGCAGGCAGCCATGCATAGCGTACATTAGCATTATTTCGAAGACTTTTTGTCTTCTCAATCTGCTTTTGGAAACTATGAAGGCGAATGTCTCCAAAATCATCTATTATAGGAGTTCTTAAGATGCTACTTATGTCCTTAGCATCGACATAAGGTGACATTCCAGAGAGAAAATATTTCTGGACAGGACTAGAAACAAGCTGAGAGTTGTCAGGTCCAATAGCATTCTTTTCCTCCATTGTTCCAATACAAGATACATTGTATGGGGCGAGAGAGCATGGTTCATTTTCACCCACTGTTTCACCCACCATAGCCAAGCACTCATTGTCAAAGATAAGCTTTCCGCTCTTAGCTTGCTGTTGCTTACCCTTGGCACATTCTGAGTTTGAGCTTTCCGCGGCACTATCAAATGTTTCAACATGGGAATCCATTTCTCTTGTCCCATCTACCACACAAGCAACGTGAACATTTTCTCCCATGGAGAATCCATGGGAGGCGCAATATTCAGGGTACTTTTCTGGAAAGAAGCATTTTCCATGCTCATCAATCCATGCAACTGGCTTGCTGCGACCTGTCATTGCATCTATATGAAGCATGTGCACGAAGTCCAGTAAAAACTGTTGGTCCTGATAAGTTACCTCAATAATGGCCCTCTTTGCTTGGAAGTCATCACGTACCAGACCAATGATACCCGCATCAAAATCTATCCATTCACTGTCATGGTAAAACAGCAGCCGATTGGGCAAGCCACTTTTCATGAAGTTGTGGTACTTTTTAACAGTCAGCATTTCAGTTGAAGCTGATCCAGCTTTAATCAAATTGCAACATGTGAACCGAGAGTGTTCGCCATCATATTGCTTAATTAGCTGTTCATGGCCACCATCAGTAAAATTTAGTGCAGATGGTACTCTTTTCCTCTTGATTTTGTTCCGCGAAACTACAACCTTACCCAATACCTTTGCGTTCAAAGCTTCCATTTCTATTCACAAAAGAAAACCGCAACCAAAATCGAACACTTCTAAAAGAGCTTGTCTCCACTAAGCCTGCTTACTAACAGTTATTTACAAACTTAAGCAACTGTATCCAGAACCCATATTCAAGAATGTCAAGAGCTCGGTAACTCTGGACAGAAAGAATTATCAATAAAAACTAGTGGGATATGAAATATAACAAAATGAAATAATAATTTAAAAAACAGGGTTCATGGAATAAAAAAAATTAAAGAGCAACACTTAACACCAAGCAACAGTTAGGTAAGTTTTGAAATCATATTAATAAACACTAAAGAAAATAACCAAATTAAAGAGTTCAAGTAAGATGACAAGGCAAAAACATATCAAGAGGAATGCTATAAATCATCCCATGTCATTCCTGGATAGAATGACGGGACATGTATAAGCTACTTTCATGCATGCCCAAATAAGTAACAAAAAATCGAGTACATTAAGATCAGCTACAGTTAGAGTAACCGAGTTAATGTTTAGGCATTCGGTATATGTGACAAAAAATAAAGGCATTTCATAACTTTTTTGTATGGTTACCATAGATGAGCAAACATGCATTAGAATACACATTACTACGTCAAATATTTATCAAGAACTTGATCTTGCAAGAATAAATTAATGAAAAACAAATTTTGAACCCAAAAGACAATGGAACGTGCTAGTGTCTCAGCTTAGCACTTGGAAGACAGCTGACATCACGGAAACAATATGTCCCATTCAACATGCAAGAGAAATAAACAATTCATGCCACAGAAAATCTATATAAATCAAGGAAACAAAATTTACCAAATATAATCACATCATTATTCTTCTCCCGAGACACAAAATACTAGTAAAATTAAATAATATAATGAAATATGTGATGCCGCCCCTACCAAAAAAAAAAAAGAACAAAAGGTGATTATCAACTACTATATTTAGAGCAGCACCAAATAACAGGCATGCAACCTGGGGGCGACCGTTGCTTTTTGGAGAAGCAACTTCACAGGTGCTTCCAAAAGCTGCTGTTGGAATAGCAGAAGTCTGTTTGGATAATCTGTTTTGCTGCAGCTATTTCTTATAAAAAAGATTGTTCTGCTTGTATATACGTAATTTATCTAAATGACTTCAATTTTCAAAATAATTACAACAGAATAACAAAAACAGGTCCAACAATATAGAAAACATGTTAAGAGTCTAAATTTCTTTGATACATCATATCGTAACTCAACATTTCAGGCATAAAGCCGCAATAATAAGAACGAAAAAAATAACTAATAAGGATATAACAAAGTTCGACTTCATTTCCAAACGATCAAGCCTTCAAATTAATTGTCCACAATTTCCCTATTTGATCACTATTTGGAGCAAACTTATCCATATCATCAGCCCAATGAAAATACATGCAATCTTCATGTGTTCTATTTTTAAGACAATAATAAAATCTCGTCGCATAGCTCACTGCTCTTCTTGATGTGCACACGGAACATTACATACCAAAATAGTTGTACATGGCTCTTGAAGTACTTGATGACATTGAACTCATTTTTTCTGTGATTATAATTCATTATAGTTCTAATTGACAAAAAAAACATGATATACAACAACAACAACAACAACAACAACAACAACAACAACAACAACAACAACAACAACAACAACAACAACAACAACAACAACAACAACAACAACAACAACAACAACAACAACGGCTACATAAATCTTTTTTCTCCATTGCGTCCTATTTAGTGTCATATTTTCATTTAGTTCTAGTAAATTAAGATCATTTTTAATACAATAAGCCCAAGTCTTTCTAGGTCTACCTTTGCCTTTCTTAACACAAGGCGAATTTAAAACATCTACTCTCCTAATCGGATCATCTAATGGTCGACGTTTAATATGACCAAACCATCTAAGGCGACTTTCTCTAATTTTGTCTGTCACAGGAGCTACACCAACCCTATCACGAATATATTCATTCCGCATTTTGTCTCTAAGTGTAAAGCCACTCATCCACCTAATCATTCTCATCTAAGCAACACTTAACTTATTATTATGCTTCTCTTTTAAAGGCCAACATTCA